AATACATATAAGTTTACTATAGCCTGCCTAATATAATTATATTAGACAGAGGTACGCAGTTTGTTTTAGCTTTCTAGAATAAACTTTATAAACAGCTCTAAATTATCCTCTATCTATCTACAGCTTTTTACTTAGAGACTAACAGCTAGACTAAGAATGTAAACACTATAATAAAATAAGTCTTATAAGTGTATATAAACTACTAGTAGAATAACTAAGTAAAATAGTTAGCTATAGCATAGTTTAAAGCTAATAATATAATATCTAAATTAATATAAGTATCTTTATTTTTAGTAAACTATAGATACTACCTCTAAATAAAATTTAAACTACTTATAAATACCTCTTAACTAACTTATTAATCTATATAAGTAATAGATGTAAATAGACTTATTAATAAAATTTAAAATATATTTAAATATGTTTATAAAAAGCTTATATAAGCTTAAGCTTTTTAATAAGAGTATGTAAACTAATTCTAAACCCTTGCCCCTGTGTATGCAGCTAGTAAGAAGGTCTAGCTAGACGCTAGAAATATCTAAACAAACTAATAATTAAAGAAACTTAATTAAAAAAACTTTAGCCCTTTTATAGTAGCCTATATAGTCTTATTGCACACTTACTAATTAATCCTACCTAACAGCATAAAGATACACCCTGTGTTCTACGTATTATTGCTGCGCTAAGTAGCCCCTAAATCTAACTATCTACCTAGACAGCTAAACCTACTACCTAAACCTGTTATTATAAATAATAAACTAGAATATGTTATAAAAGACATTAAATAGATCTAGTTTAATAAGAAAAAACATATCTATAAATACTTTATAAAATAGACTAGATACAACAAACTGTTGTAGAAACCTGCAGAAGCCCTACAAAAGAACTCTACAGTAACCTAATTCCACGCCTAATACCTATCTAAACTAAACCTGTACCCTAACAAAGACAACCTAATGCTAGAACTACTAATGTAAAGGATTCCCTTCCTAATAAGAGGGGGGGTACTGTCACAGTATCCTCCCTAGATCCTAGACATAACTGTATTAGACGCGTACTAGAGTATTATTAGTGCACGTCTAACATAAACACAACATAACATAGACATAAACTTAAGCATAAACTGCCTTAACACTAACTAAACCTAGAACAGGCTTAATTTATACCTAAAGCGCTTAGACTTTTAAGCTAAGTATTTAATTGCTAATTTCCTTCTAAACCTTCCTGTTCCTCACACAACGTCTTGTACCTACTATAATACCTCACGTAGTAATTGAACTAGACCTCCGTGAAGCTCTATAACCTTACTCGTGCACGATCGTGACACTGCTAATGTCTAACTAACTACTCTTTAACTCTAGAGTTAAACACGCTCTAGCTAAGCTATACTACTACCCTGTTAACAGCTAAACCTGCGTCTACAGGACCTAAAGCTAGACCTACCTAATTTAGAGTTAACCTCTAGCAGTATATCTATGCTTAATTATAAGCACAGCTTAAACAGTTAATCTACTAAAACACTGCTAGGCAACTACTAAATTACCTCTAATAATGCCTTAAATTACTACTGCTACTTTATAGCAAGAGACTTTTAAGGCACCTTTAATAACGCTTAAAGGGTACTACTTTAAACGCATAACTATAATTAATAACTGCATAGATAGCAAGGAATAAAGAGAAAGTCTTAATTATTAACAGGCTAGACATTTATATAGATCACTATTAGAACAGGCGCGCATAGCGTTTAGTGTGGAGGACACTGCTAGCAGTGTGAAGGAATACTTAGTAAGGACACCTAGCTAAATTAGACTAGTTTTAGCTTAAGGATGCAGAGGATATAACAGCAATACTTTGTACTATTGTCAGATTTAAGCACTGTTTCTGGGCTTCCTGAGATGAATGATGGGTTTAGATATGATGTATGGGATGATTGATTGATTGTGTTGATTGTGTTTTATTTATCGATCCTTTTTCTGCTCTACTCGTGTTGCTCGGCTTTTTGTTCTGCCGATCCGAGTCCCTCGCGCACTAGCCCTATGCGCGACCAGCTTGCAACATGCTGCAATTTGCTGCAAAATGCTGTAACATGCTGCAATTTGCTGCAATTTGCTGCAACATGCTGTAAAATGCTGCAATTTGCTGCAACATGCTGTAAAATGCAGCAGTTTGCAGCAACATACTGTTCGAGCTTATTGCTCGTACTATGTAGCAGCTTTCGTCAAACGTTCCTCCTGTCTTGACAGTAGGTGCGCATATCTGACAACTATAACTACTACTAATAGGGACTATTAGTCTATAGAGGGGGGGGTAGTGTAACAATTCTTATAAATTATTTTATCTTAGGTTGCCTAGAACCTATCTAGAGGGTCCCTGTATTAGCTCTAACCTTAACTTAATTCTTATAAATTATGTCTATCTTAGGTTGCCTAGAACCTATCTAAAGGGACCTTGTATTAGCTCTAACCCTAACTTAACCTGGCCCTAACTCTGCCCTGCCCTCTACTGTACCCCTATTCCTTCATGTATTTAGTTGCACCTTGCCCCTGTAGCTAGCTTAGCAGTTTTCTGATATCCTTTTGTACAAGGCCTATAGGTGTCAATGGCATTCCCAGGTTCAGAGTCCCCACGCACTCCCATATGCCTCTGAGTGGATTCCCACCGCATTCGGACCCATTGTCTTGCCTGCGCCGTTACAACTGCAACCTTAAAAAAGTCTACTTTAATTATAATACTGCTTACTTTTAAGCCTTATTAATTAAATTATAATAGTTAAAAATGTAGTTACGCTTGTTTGCCTTATGTAATTGTAGGTAGAGCAAAAGTATTAATTGTACTACTTCCTGTTGGAAACGCTGGAAAGGACTAATCAAGCCACCGCGCTCTTATGCCTTCTCGAGCCTACCATAGCCGATTCCTAGTCCAAGCATCAGCCGAGAACTAGTCTCAACTCATTGAAGGTAAATCCGATAGGATAGGATGGGCATAGAATAAGATAGAGCGCGGTGAGCACGGAAATCGAGGCCCGCGCTTCGGCGGGTGGGCTTAGTGTCGCTGGCAAAAGGCCGAACGCTGCGTCACCTGCAGGCGCTTGAAGGGGCATTCATCTGCCAATAAGACACAAATTTAATATTAAACCTCGGAATGCCATACAGGACATGTTTAAAGCTGGAAATTGGGTTTTGTAATTCTACTCTGTCGAGTTTTCAATTGACGAGCCCTCATAATCAGATTCCTCCTGTGCTATACGCTTTACGACTCTCTCCTCTTGCTCAGCATACTTCGCCTCATCGCCGGCAGTGATTTGATCTGGGGGTGGCTGCGATCTTTTTCGCTTCTTGAGCCCAGGAGCAATTGAAGGCCTGCCAAGTGATTCTAGTCGTGCAACCCTGGTCTCTGCCGCGTCAAGAAAGTTACGGAGCTGTTGGGTATTGATAGCCAACTCTCGATTGCTTTCGCTGATTTCACGAAGTGCAAGTTCTTTATAAGCAAAGTCTCTTGAAGCCGCAGGCCTAGATGGTAAGTGGGATTTCCTTGCTTGTTTCGGAACGCCTAGGTAGAGTGTCAGACATATAAGTCATGAAAAGCTTGTTAAGAAATACAGCATACCTCGTCTACAACTTCTTGCACCGCTCTTAACTCATTGTCATCTACATGAGTCCGCCACACGGATAGCGTCGCCTGTCGCGACTCTTTCTTTCCGTATTCAACGTCTATACCAACGACGATTTAATTAGTAGAGTTTCTACGGCAGCTCAGGTAGTAGAGCTTCCTGCGCAGCTTAATTAGTGGAGTTCCTGTAGTAGCTCAGGTAGTAGAGCCCCTGTAGCAACTCAGTCAGTACAGCTTCTACAGCAGCTCAGTCAGTAGAGCTTCTGCAGCAGCTCAGTCAGTAGAGCTTCTGCAGCAGCTCAGTCAGTAGAGCTTCTGCAGCAGCTCAGTCATCGAGCTTTCTGTGTAGCTTAGTCGTAGAGCATTCCGCGTAGCTTAGTCGTAGAGTATTCCGCGTAGCTTAGTCGTAGAGCATTCTGCACAGCTCAGTCAGTAGAACTTCCTCAGCAGCTCGGGTAGTAGAGCTTCTGCAGCGGCTCACCCAGTAGAGCTTCCTCAGCAGCTCAGGCTTCCTGCGCAGCTCGAGTAGAGCTACTGTAGGCTAGTCAGTTGGCTCGATTTGTATGCGATCGCCATACAAACTGGCGTGAACGCTGAGCTGCCTCAGGCAGTAGAGCTTTCTGCGCAGCTCAATCAGTAGAGCTTCCTATAGAGCAGTTAGTAGAGCAGGCTGTAGAGCAGGCCGTAGAGCTTCCTACGCTGCTCAGAGGCTTGCAGAACTTCACGCGTAGAAGTTTAATTAGCTGCAGTCTGTGGCAGTGTAGTGAGGCGAGCAGCTTGATTTGCTGGAGAAATGTTAATCCGCTCCGCCAGGTTTTGAAATCCTGAAGAAGCAAAAATACAGCAAATAGTCAAAAGTTAATCCGGCCCCGCCAAGTTTTAATTCTAAAGAGGCAAAAAAGGCTGTGCAATTTCAGCCACAACTGGAAAGAAATCCGACCATAAATACAGAGCGAGGTACGAGCTCTGAATAAAATAGTGCTACTACCCAAGTAAGTTGCGCAACTTTAGAAGGCAAATAAGGCTGGAATACAGCGTAAGAAGCGTAAGAAGAAGCGTATATAGAAACAAGGCGTCTTAACTAGCGCTGAGGGGATAGAGCCAAGTACTCAAATTAATGTTAATAGCCAGCTAGAAGGCGAGGAGCAGCAATGTAGGAAGCGCGCCAGAGGTAATACACCCGCAGCGACCTAGACATAAATCCAAAACTTGTAAATAGACGAATTAGTAGACTATCTATCCCTTAGTAAATTATTACTATAATAGATACTAGAATAGTTGTGTTATTCAACTGTAATGCTCGGAGTCTTGGCAAAGTTCGCGCTTCGCTTGGGGAATACGTTCCGTTATACTTCACTTTTGCAATATCGATAGGCATCTTTCGAATTGCACTAAGGCCGGCTACCCCTGCTAATCGCCCTCCAAAATCTCTCTTCCTTCCCCCTCTGTCTCTTCTCCCAAGCCGCAAGCAAGCCCATCGTCGCAAGTGTAAGTGGGACCACCACGGCAGGATACAGCCAAATATCTCTTGTCCCAACGATACTATTCTTCGCCTCGGCCTGCTTCAAGGCGATGAAGTTTGTGCCGAAGAGCGTGGCCACGAGCGTGGCGGGGAGGTAGAGAATAGTGATGTAGGTTATTGTTTTGACAGAGGTTGTTTCTTCACTGTTTCGTTTAGCGAGGTGGACGAGGGTGGTGGATTGTTGGTGGGCGAGGGCGAGGGTCGCGTGCGTGGCGTAGGTGGTGTTGAGAGTAGATTGCTGAGCGAGGTAGGTTAGGAGGCGGTCGACCTGTTTGCGTTTTGTGGATGAGGACATTTCTTATTCATGGAGAAGGAAAAGTTGAGCCAGAGGAGTGTGACTTACGTTTTGGGAAATGGTTTTGGCTGTCTGAAGGAGGTATGTTAAAGTCTCGTGGTAGGATTGAAACTTTGAGATTTGGGATTCTAGTTCTCCGCGGAAATACTCGAACGCTGGCGTTTTGTCTTTGAAATAGATACGTCTATATCGCGTTCCGTGCTTCATCAATGCTCGGCAGGTGGATAGAGTTGTGCGTGCAACGAGCTGGAGGCGGAGTAGTTTACTCTGGAAATACTGTAGGTTTTGAATGTCGCGAACATCAAGATTATAGTTGTCTTTGGATGTAGGCTCCATGTCGTAGTAACAGACCTTATCGCTCTATGTCTCAAAAGTATTAGTGTACATCACAAGCTTATGTCGAAGGGGGAGCCTCACCATTTTAAGAAGCACGTCCTCTAAGTAGTTTAGGTACCATCTCCACTCTTTAGATGCGCCGAAGAGAATCAGTAAGTGCGGCATCATGGGATTCCCACTCTCAGTGCTCTGAAGTAGTTCATCCTTCAGTGATTGTGGCCCTCGTAGAATCAGCCATGATGATGCCTTCATATCGATATGGAAAGTGTGCTGAATTCCAGCATGCCTAATCGACCACGGATCTTCAAGGTCCCTACCGTGTTTCTCTGGGAATCGTATATTGTAGCAGATCACTGTTTCAGAAAGTGAGCACAAACACCAATGCTCAGTCGCATATATAAATAGCATACAGCATACCTTGCGAGTCGTTCTGCAAGGGATATGCTGCAAATTCGTAGAACCGATCATCCACAGCTCTTATCTTACAACAGAATCCTAAAGTTATTCTATAGAACGAAGGCGATGCGAGTGTTCGGCTTAGAATGGTCTCCATGGCATCCTTTGTTACTTTTAGACGGCCCCAGGAGCTTGCCTGTGGTATGATTCTGACTACACTATCAGTTCATGATTGCGATTACGTTTTCTAGGCTGAACTTACAACACATTAAGTGTGTATACATACATATTCTAAATATATTAGAATAGAACGGGTATAATTTGCAGACAACAGACAGCAAGGTACTCATCAAGTTTCCTCTCATCGTCGATAGTAAAGATAACATGCCCTAAAGATTCGTGAGATTGTGAACTAGAACATATAGGATGAGACCTGCCATCATCGGATACTCGCTTCAGCATTAAAGCCTCGACATGAGTAGCCTGACCGAAGATCCCCTGATGCTGCTGAAGGAGCGTTTTTGCCTCATTTATTTGTTGGGTGAGCATGGTGCAAACATTGAAGAAGTTGTAGACAATCGCTCAGAAAATGGTTACACAATACGTTTTGCTCCATAGATTATTAATCGAGCACCGGTGAACACCCAAGCTATAGTACCAATCATCACCTTCACAGCCACGCTATATGCATGCCGCCTATTCGTTCTTCATGCATCATCGTTCTTGATAGACTCGATCTCAGCCTGTCAATACCTTAGCTATCACCTGTTGTAGGGCTGATTTGGCAGCCCCTCACGTCTGTGAGATCCCGAGGCAGATTCTTCAACACGTAATTATCGTTGCGCATCTGGAATTTCAGTAAGAATGATCTATCGTATGAATGGTATGATTCTATTTACTTCAAATGATGCTGTATCTCCGAATAGGCGAAGGAGGAGCGCGATCAGCTTCAAACGGTCGGTATATTGACGGGGGAGTGTTTGGGGCATGCCGGAAAAGAATTTGGAGAATATGAGTGCATATCTCAACGCTTCTAGGCAATGGTTCTTATGCGTACGCGGTTAGGCCTATGCAAAAGCGTATTTGTTGCCTCGCTTACAGCCCTGCAGTTGCCTTTTCATTTCCCTCCAGTACTATGACAGCCTACCGTAGTACAAGCCTCACTCCCCCACTAACCTGCAGGTGTGAGCTGGCTCGCATTCTCAGCATGCTGTTAAGACAATCGAGACTACGAGACCGTCTGGAATGAATGTAAAATGACGGATTACGAGGAGCGCGAGTTTTCCTGTTGTGATTATATATCGCGCTCGTAATCCAGGGTGTCCTATTGCACCTATGCATTCAGTGAATCCAGCACGTCTAAAACCTCCTTCATAACAATCTTCTCATCTTCATAATCCTCCGCATCCCGATGTGTTGCGCCAGCATTTAAACAAAATTTAACGACCCCCATATACAAATCTCCAACGCGCTCTGCAAGCTGGGGTACGAGCTCTCTGACTATTGCATCTCTCGCATCAATGCCATCGAGTCCAGCCAAGGAATCTCGAAACGCAGAAAACGGGGTCCACAGTCCGATCTCTAGAAGCACCATGCCTAAGCTGTAATAATCATGCTCTTTGCAAAACCTAGGTAGCTCAGATAAATAAACAGGATGCCTATAGATGTTGTGTTCAGTGGTGAGGGATGGAGGGGGATGCGAGAAGGCATTCTCGGCATCTGGACGGCTGAGATTGAAGCCAACGAGGTAGGGTCGCGAGATATCCGGTGGCGACGATATATCCATATTCGTTTTTAGAAAGAAGATAACATGCTCCGATGAAAGGCTTTTATGGAACCAGGAGTTCCGCCCGAAATGCATGACAACAAGGGCCTGAGCGACTTTTCGGCTTAGCTCGAATATTCCGCCTAGTGATGGCCGTGCCTGCTTCTGGAGATCTGCATGCCTCTTAACGAGGGACTGTAAAGAGGCTACCTGAATGCTAGATGCTGAGCTCCTACAGACCATATCCGGATACGCAAGGACCAAGCCAAATGCATAAGCTTTGGGGATGTGAATATAGCCCATGCACGTCAGAAAATTTGCGTTTGGGACATTACCGAATGCCAAGAGTTCTTGTGCGAGATCCTCAACACGTTTGTAGAGTTCTTCGGTTTGGCTTCCGCTCCAGGTTGAATCGTAATGCTTCCATTCTACGAGCACATGGCTTGAGGCCCCACGCCTGTCGACAGCGGTTCCTTGGCTCATTAGACGGAAGGGTGTTGAAGGGGGTTCAACGTCCACTAGTTCTTTTTCCATGAGAAGAGATTCTCTTCCTGCATGTCGAGATTGCGTTATCATCAGGGCTATTGACCTGGAGACGGCTTTCGCCGTCAGGTGCTCATACATTGGGTTGGTCCGTGGAGCACTGAAAGTCTTCAGAGAGAGCTTCGCCATAACATCTGTATGTAGAAAATCCTCGTTATCTCCTTCTTTCGAACCAGGTGATCTCTCGGGAGCGTCTTCAGCCATTGCTCGGTCGTTGAGGGGCAACAGATCAAGGAGCTCATCCAGATGTTGGGATATATAAAACATCCCTTCTCTTGTAGATTCATCTATCTCACTGTCGCTACTCGCCACATCCTCGCTGCATGGAGAAAGCCAGGAAATTTTGTATTCCATGTCCTCGAACCATTTCAGAAGGCGACGATACTGGAGTTCGACGAGATTGTTACTGGGCTGAATGTCCTGGCACTCCCTTGAGATACCGAAATACCCCAATAAGAAGCGATACCGAGCTAACTCAAGGTCAATCAAATCCGCAATAAGCTTGTATGGGCCCATTCGAGATTTTGCAAAGAGTGTCCTTTTTCCGTCAAGGAGGTCCCAAATATCGAGAAATCGGGACCTTGTAGCGATGATTGTGAACTGGAGAGCCACGTTGTGAGCGGTGGGGCGCTGCTTAGGATCACCGACCAGGATGCGAAGGCAAAGATCTCGGAGGGCTTCTAGATGAACTACTTCGTTGGCTGGGAAGAGCTGTTCAAGAACCTCTCGTACCGAGCTCTTGAGCTCTCTATGTTGATGGAACGAATCATCTTCGAACCGAATACCCCCGAGAGTCTGTACTGTTACTCTGCGGTCTCGAAGTAAGTTCAGCGATACAACACCTCCATGGAGATACATCAGAGTTTCTGTCAGGATGCAGCCAAAAGACCATATGTCTGCCGCTCTTCCTACGCTATCCTTCTGGCATTCTTCGTCTCGACATTCTGGTGCCCCGTATGTCTCCGTGCCGCCTTTCCATAGCGTCGTAGATCCTAATGGTTTGGGCTTAAAACGCGCAAGCCCGAAATCGGCGATTTGGAAATGTCCGTTCCGAATCAGGATGTTCCCGGGCTTCAGGTCATGGTGATAGCCAATCAGCTCCAGCTGGCATTCTTCCGAATATGTTTCCGTATGAACAACATAATTGTGAAGGTGGTCTAGTCCAGAAGCAAGCTCTCGTAGTTCCATCAGGACTGCACTATGTTGCCGCAGGTTCTCAGGACCTTCGGATCGGTCTTTCGCAAACCACTTTTGCATATCCGTTTCGGCCCATGGGAATATCAAATTATGGACGCCTTCCAAGGTGTATGAGCATTGCAAGGCGAGCACATTCGGATGACAAACCCAATTGAGGGTCTGAAGGGTACCGATCTCTCTCTTCAGCGCTTCTTCTCCCTTGGGCCCCATACTTTTCAGTTCCTTCCGCGCAAAATAGACAACCTGCTGTAGGTCGTCAGTATACTAACCGCGAGTCGTAAAATGCAGGGCGTAATCCTTACCTTTTCACTTTTGGAGCCCACCATTGCTGTTAAATCTTGATGCTCGCTATCTAGTCCAATCTTGTAAACATTACCAAATGCACCAGAAGCAATTGGTTCATTAACAATAAAAGGTAGGATAGTATTGGAAGAGATTCGATAGTGCTGAGGGTTGGGACCAAAGCATGGTGCAGTGAATTCATATTGCCATGCTAGAAACTGCTCTTCACTCATGGGAGAAACCTTCGCAAGCGGTGTCTCAGTAAAAGGCATGCGTATGTCATATTTCTGCTCCTCAAAAAAGGCCTCTATTTCTTCGGGCTTGTCGACTAGAACCAAGATTGCGAAGACCTTAATGTAGTGATGCATGATATGACAAGCCTTGTTGTAGACCGTTCTCGGAAGGTGGAAGCCCTTGGAATTTAAGGTTGCTAGCACTGTGTCGATGTAAATGATATCCTTGAGCGGACGCTCGGGGAAGAATTCACGAGAGTTCCAGGTTTTGCGCCGGAGCTGAAGCAAGTCATCGCGCGTAATAGCACGATACGACATAATATGGGTGATAGGCAAAAGAGCGTTTTAAGAGTTAGAAATGAGTTATAGGGTTGATGAAGCAGGCCTGGCGCGGGACAACGAACTTCAGGGAAGACACTTGCTAGCAGACAGGTGCGGGGTCGAGGGTTAGGTAAGCCAATATCACGTGATAGTGATATTAGTTATAAGGCTGAGACCATAACTCTAGTCTAGTAATAACACAACCCGCCTCCTGAGATTTTCTTCGTCCACCCACGTGACCGTGGGCTTGAAGTCAAGCTTAGACCACATCTCTTCTAGAGGGTCTAGTCGCCTGTGTAATTTTTAGTGCGCAGATAACTGTAAAATTAAGTTGCGTCTAAAGTGTAACAGCACAGGCAAGACAATGGGTCCAAATGCGGTATGAATCCACTCAGAGGCATATGGGAGTGCGTGGGGACTTAGAAACCTGGGAATGCCATTAACACCTATAGGCCTTGTACAAAGGATATTAGGAAACTACTAAGCTAGCTAAGGGGAGAGGTGCGACTAAATACTTGGGGGAATAGGGGTACAGCAGGGGGCAGGGCAGGGTCGGAGCAGATACAAGGACCCTTCGGATATCAGCTCGTTGGGCAAACTAAGATGGTGTAACAATTCTCATGAATCGTTCCATCTCAGGTTGCTCAGAACCTCCGAAAGGTCCTTGTATCTGTAACAGCACAGGCAAGACAATGGGTCCGAATGCGGTAGGAATCCACTCAGAGGCATATGGGAGTGCGTGGGGACTTAATAACCTGGGAATTCCATTAACACCTATAGGCCTTGTACAAAGGATATTAGAAAACTACTAAGCTAGCTAAGAAGAAAGGTGCAACTAAATACTTAGAAGAATAGAGGTAACTGTAGAGGATAGAGTTAAGTTATAGTTAGAGCTAATATAAAGACTCTTTAGATAGATTCTAAGCAACCTAAAATAAAATAGTTTATAAAAATTATTACATTACTTTTTTTTATAAGCTAATAGTTTTTATTTATAGTGTTTAAAAAGTACTTAAAACTACTTTAAAACTAATTTAAATAAAATATTATAAGTATAACTATCTAACTAAAAATTTCTATTACTATAAAAAAAACACTAAAAACTTAATACCTATATAATGCCTTTATTATAATGTTTTTGTTTAGTAGTAACTACTAGTGTAGTTATTATTAGTATAGTAAATTTATTATTTATAGTAATAAGTATTTACTTACTTTACTTATATAGTTTAGTTAATATTAATATTAATATTATTTTAGCTATTATCTAAATCTTTACTATATAAGTATTATTATACACTTAACATCTTATAGCTTAGTCTACTAACTAATTATAGTATTAAAGAAAACTACTATGCTGCTTTTGTTACAATTATGCACGAGTAAGGTTATAGAGCTTCACGGAGGTCTAGTTTAATTACTATGTAAGGTATCATGGTAGGTACAAGACGTTGTGTGAGGAACAGGAAGGTTTAGAAGGAAATTAGCAATTAAATACTTAGCTTAGAAGTCTAAGCGCTTTAGGTATAAATTAAGCCTGTTCTAGGTTTAGTTAGTGTTAAGGCGGTTTGTGCTTAAGTTTATGTCTGTGTTGTGTTGTGTTTGTGTCAGACGTGCACTAATAATACTCTAGTACGCGTCTAATACAGTTATGTCTAGGATCTAGGGAGGATACTGTGACAGCTTTACACCTTTTTTAACGCCTTTTTAAAAGCTTTTTAAGTTAACGTACTTTACAGGCAAGTTGCTTACACACCTAAGTTGCTTACTTTTGCTAAGACCTTACTAAACTACTTTTCTTACACTAATACATTTCTAACAACACTACTTAGACATGCTAAAAGAATGTTAGATATAGCTTACACTTTAAGCTTTTAAATAAAATATAAAACTTTTAAAAAAACATGCTACAGCTATGTATAAAGTCTTTTAAAAGATAATAAATAACTATAGTACTAAATAACCTTTATAAGCTAATTTTATAACTAACTTATAAAGGCTAGGTAATAATAAGAAGTAGGTAATTATTAAGACTATACTTAAGCTATATATATAAAGATTTTCTCTTTAAATAGCATTTATAGCTAATATAGCTAATTCTTTACATGCTAAGTGTAATCTAGGCTATATTAGCATAAACTAGCCTAGTATGTTTAGAAAGTGTTATTTAAAGCTTAAAGTAATGTTTAAGTATAGTATAACTATAAAAAAGCTTTTTATAAAAGTCTTAAAGTAATTTAAGGCAAGTTTAGCTTTATAAAAATATTAAAGCTAAGTATAGTATTTAGAATAATAATATATATAACTTTAGTAAAATAAGCTTTATTATAAGCTAAATATTTATTAACTATACTTATACTTAAAACTTTACTTTAAGCTTTAAATAACACTTTATAAACATACTAAGCTAGTTTATACTAATATAGCTTAGATTATACTTAGTGTGTAAAAAATTAGCTCTATTAGCTATAAATACTATCTAAGAGGAAAATCCTTATATATATATAGCTTAAGTATAGTCTTAATAATTACCTACTTCTTATTATTACCTAGCCTTTATAAGTTAGCTGTAGAATTAGCTTATAAAGGTTATTTAGTGCTATAGTTATTTATTATCTTTTAAGAGACTCTATACATAGCTATAGCATGTTTTTTTTAAAAGTTTAATATTTTATTTAAAAGGTTAGAGTATAAGCTGTATCTAACATTCTTTTAGTATATTTAAGTAGTGTTATTAGAAATGCATTAGTGTAAAAAAAAGTAGTTTAGTAGAGTTAACGTACTTTACAGGCAAGTTGCTTACACACCTAAGTTACTTACTTTTACTAAGACCCTACTACACTACCCTTTCTACACTAATATATTTCTAATAACACTACTTAGATGTATTAAAGAAATGTTAGATGCAGCTTACACTTTAGGCTTTTAAATAAGACACAACACTTTTTAAGTAACGTGCTGCAGCTATTTATAAAGTTTTTTAAAAGATAATAAGCAACTAACGCGCTAAATAACCTTTTTAAGCTAATTATATAGCTAACTTATAGAAGCTAGATAATAATAAAAAGCAAGTAATTAGTTAGCACATACTTAAGCTAGATGCGCAAGGATTTCCCCCCTAGCTAGCAGCTATAGCTAATATAGCTAATTCTTTACACGCTAAGCATAATATAGGCTATATTAGCATAAACTAGCTTAATACATTTATTAAGTGTTACCTAAAGCTTAAAGTAAAGTTTAAGTGTAAGTATAACTATAAAAAAGCTTTTTATAAAAATTTTATAGTAATTTAAAGCTA